GAAACTATGATTGGTTAAAACTACCTTTGGCTGAAAATACTTTTGGTCAAAACTACTCTTTGTTATAAAAAACTTTGACTGAAACTACATTTGACAGAAACTAAAATGGTTAAAACTACATTTGACAGAAACTACAATTGGTTGAAACTACATTTGACAGAAACTATAAATGGTTCAAATTACATTTGACAGAAACTACAATTGGTTGAAACTATCATAAATAAAACTGTCATTGATTGGTACTATATATGGCTGAAATTATTATTGGTTAAAACTACCATTGATTAAAAGTACCATTGATTGAAACTACCTTTGACTGAAACTATAATCGATTATGGAACTACGTTTGGTTGAAACTATGATTGGTTAAAACTATCTTTGGCTAAGACACTATCATTACAGAAACTATAATTTATTGAAACTACTCGGAATTTGATAGTTTCGGCCAATGGTAGTTTCTGCCATATGTAGTTACAACCAATGATAGTCTCAGCACGGAAAAAAAAGAAAAAGTAATTTTTACTACTTTCATAGTAAAACGGGAACTGTTCAAAGTTTCTGCGCATCTCTGGCAACTTTTACTCCAAAAATAGTAAAATTTACTCCAGAAATAGTAAAAATTACTACGGAACAGTAAAATTCACTACAAAAATAGTAAATTTTACTATTTCTGGAGTAAAAGTTGCCAGAGATTGGAACCAATTGTACTTTCTGACAAATATAGTTTTAAACAATGGTAGTTTCAACCAATTGTAGTTTCTGCAAAATGTAGTTTCAACCAATGGTAGTTAAAAACTTATAGTTTCAAAAGAATAATATTATTACTTAACCTACATATACACTTGTGTCGAGTATAATAAAATCAATTGATTTGATATCCTGTCGCGTATATATAGAATATATAATTATTCTATCAAACTGAACGCGAGTTTCCGGATTCAAATGAATTTCCCCGATGAGAGTATATAGACAAAGCTCGATAAAGTCCTGCGACGAGTATTTTATGTATATATATAGCTATATATATCGGAAACTCTCGAGCGTTAATTGACTACAGAATTTTATGTTCCACTAAATTACTCCATGCAAATGCACTTCGGGTATATGCTTTTATACCAAGTAGCCGGACTGCAAGATTTACTGCGCTCTCATTATCCTAATGAAGACGTAACGCTTGAAAAACGGGTTAGATTTTTACTGAAAGTGATTGGTTATGCGAAAAATGAACTTTATGCGAAAATGGCTCTTTGCTGCCCGTAGCATATATATATCTCAACTTAATGCTCATATGAAGCGACATTATTTTTAGCACTTACTCTTTATTAGATCCTGTATATATATACAGTTAATCACTTATGGCTGCGATTTTAATATATAATATACAAAAGAGGAAGAGGCGAATAACTTGTTTACATTATATAGCGAAAAAAAAAATTAGATCTATAGCAATATTTCACAAAAATAATTCAAACTTTTTTTTACTATTAGTTAAATTTTACTAATTAGAATTCGTTCACTAATTTAATTTTATTTGATTCCTAATAGATATTTACTTTGAACCTACTAAATATTTTCTTCAACCAAATAAACATTTACTTTGAACCAAATAAATAATTACCTTGAACCAAATAATTTTTATTTCAATTAAATAAATTGTATTCGAACCAATATTTTCTGTCTTTAAAACAAAAATACCATTTACTCATGCAGAAATTTTACCAGGCCCCTTGCTGCCCTATTAGGGAATGAAACGCCGCGCCTGATGTGGCCCTGATTAGGAAATGCATATACTTTCTGGTCGCCCTGGTTAGGCATGGCGTTTCATTCCCTGATAGGGCAATTTCTATACGGGTATAATTGACTCAAAAATTATTTGGCCCAAGTAAATACTTATTTGATAATAGTCTAACCAATTATTTGAATGAAATAAATTACGAAAATCAGTGCGGATCAAATAAATCGTTTTCATAAAAGCTACAATTTTTCAGTGTATGGAATAGCATTTGAAACAGTTGCAAATAATTTCATTGAGAAATATTGTAAAGTTCCGTGATTATAAAAAAAAACCTTTTTCCCGCATTGTAGAAATGGTCGAGAGGGTGTACAGCTCCTGCGTTAACTGGCCAGAAGTTATAGCCTAAGAGATAATGCCCTCTTAATATTCAACGCCAGCAGCGCGACAGATTTACGAGTGTTAATGAATTGGCAGTAGCCTCTCTTGTATCTCTAAGAGTTCAAATCATCTCTCATTTTTTTTCTCTCTCTCTCTCTTCTCGCGACAATTCTCCCGTTTGTAATCCTTTTCGTCACGACAAAACTTTTTTTTTTTTTCATATTCCCGAACAGTATTTTCTATTTCCTATTCTCTACCCGGAAATCGTTTATTGAAGAATAGGGAAAGAGTGAGAAAAAAAGGTCTCGAGTTTTATGAGAAAAAAAACAAAAGTCTGAGAACAACGGGGACCAAAGAGTATGATGATGATGATGATGATGATGATGATAATAATGATAATGATGATGATGCTGTTGATGATGATGATGAAGAAGAAGAAGAAGAAGCCCTCAGTCCCTCGATAGCCGAATAAATCTCGTCAGCTCCCTGTTTTGTTGCCCGAGGCCAAAAGAAACCCATCGGTATACTTATGCTCTATACCCAAAAAGGCTTTCGTAACGCGTCTCTCTCACGAACATATATAGTAGTAGTAGTAGTGTGTGCTATGGATTTAATTAAAAAACATAATTTAGACCGAGGAGAATATCAGGTAGCTGCACTCTGGTGGGAACTAACGGAGGCTCCAAAAAGAGCGACCAAATCGGTCCGGGGGTCACTCATGAATAAAATTATTAATTCTATCTTCACAAAAGCCTGCACGATTTTTAGCTTCCACTTTTATCGCGGTGGTCAACGGATTTTTTTTTTTTTCATCTTAATTTTCCTTCATGCATAACAATTTTTGCTGATTTTCTATATAGATTCCGTGCAATCAAAATTTTGAAATGTTTGTTTTTCGAATAATTTTTTGGAACGCTGATAAAAAAAAACAAATGGAATCGCAATGACTTGAAACGCGTGACCGATCGTTGCGGGCATGGTATATGAGGGAAGTTAAAAATCCATTTGTCAGCGAAAGGAAGAAGAAAAGATTAAAGATGCCGACAGTAGCGCGATAAGGAAGAGCCTCTGCCAAGTTGCTCATGACACGGGGAGTGTCCTTTCTCCTCTAGTTATACAATATTACTTTTAAATGTCTCTCATCGTCAACAGCAGAATGTCAAACTACTTTAAAACGACTTGTATCCTTCATAAAAAAAATATTACTTTTACAAAAAGTATATTTACCTACAAATTGTATTTTCCTTAATCATTTTATAACAATTCTTTTTTCGACCTTAAAAATAGTCAACTAAATAGTATATAGAAAAGAAAGAAATGACTTTTATCAGAGAACGATTAAAAAAAGGAATCGTATTTGTATATATTATTGAGCTATATATGTGGAATTATTATCTGCTATATATATATATATATATACGAAAGCACTATTGTTTTTAATGCCGCCAAGCTTATCGTCTTAACTGGCAATGTAGCCGCTTGCATGCATTTTCTGATAAACAAATAATTAACATTACAAGTAACCTGCATTCCTCTTATCAGTCAATCGCTCCTCCTTGCTCGAGTACTACCTCTATGGGTAAATTTCACAGAACTGAAACTATAATACCTCCTACTATCAAATGTTAACTCCACATATCTCGTGCAAACATATATATATATATTTAACAGTAATTGCCCGAGCTCAATTGAAATGTCAAAAAAATTAATCCCACCCAAACTTATCAGGTAAATTTAGTAATAATTTTCATACAATAATTAAATAATAATTATAATTTTTGTTATTAATATTTTCCATAATATTCACTACCTTTGGAATTTTCTTTTCCAGGAATTATTATAAAAATATTAATCGAAGCGGCGTTAGAAAATCGAAAACTATGAAATACGTCAGCTGTGGTTAACCTCGAGTATGCCAGTCAGTGGTTACTCTTTCCGTTTACCTCGTTCGCACCCTCGCATTGTCAGCTTTCGTCAGTCTGTCTGTCTGTCAGTCAGTCAGTCATTCGCCTACTCTTTCGTCTCACCCCTCGTTTTTTCACCCACACAGCTGTCACATTCTGTTAACATCCCAAAAATCCCTTCTTAAAAAAAAAAAACAAAAACTGACGAATCTTTACCCAAAAACCATCTGTTTTTCTAAAAACAATCCTAGATCTAGAATTTTTAATTCAACTCCAAAAAAAAGTACTATAAAAAAACTAATCTCCTCTCATCGCTAAGATTTGGACCACATATCAACAGATCGTTTTGTTGACGTGAGAGCCGTTGTAAAAACGCCACTTATGAATATTTTCAAGTCGTTTTACATCGTTTAGCGCCCTTGGAGAAAAAAAATACAGTTCATATGATAGTTCCTAGAAAAAAGATGAAGAGAGAGAAAAAAAAAAAAGAAAAAGAGAAATGGTCAAGCTCCCTGGTTTTAATTTATGCGCAATGTTGCCCCAGGCATTATTAGTTCTAGCTGTATGGATATACTATGACGTCACGCGGTTAAAACAAAGGATCAAAAACCCGCACCCATTCCTCTTTAAGTTGCACGGGTCTTTTAACTCTGCCGACATAGACTACTCTTACCGAGAGATAAATAGAAACCTGCATATATATATATATATATATAATTTTCGTTCGGCACTTCACTCAATATATATAGTAAAGTAGCATCATCCCTATTTCCATTTGTTAGATTGATATTTATATATATTTCCTTCTTTCATTAGTTTTCTATATAGATATGATTTATCGTTTTTTATCCTCGTTCATTTCTCAACCGTATATATATTTCTTTTTGTGGATCGCAAATCATTTAGAAATCTAATGATTATATCATTGCAATTGCCGAAATAATTTTTAGGATTTCAAATTAGTAATAAGAAAAAAAACTCACCTTTTGAGATGTCCGCTTATGGGTCCATTTTTCGTTGTTCTTTTATCTGAAATACAAAATAAATATAATTGAATTTGCGCGACTTTGAGGCGTCTATAGATATAATTGTCCAAGCCGTCGCCTTTCTGACCGACTGCGACTAATCAATATCACCTGCCTTGTTCTTTTCAGTGTACTTATCCTATTTGTTTTCTAATTTTGTTTCTTTCTTTAACTTTGTATTAATTTTTTCCACTAGTACGGAAATACATATTTGTAATTAGTGTAATTAGTATGATTATTATAGTAAATATTAGTAAATAGCTCGGTAAATTGTATTATGTAAATATAGTAAATAGTATCGTAAGGGTTGTACCATATGGATAAGAAAACAAATTTTTCATTTTCCGGCATTTCCGGAAGTCTAATTGAGAGATGTCGCGTTGTCTTTAGAGGGTTCGTCGCATTGTTCATCTGGATCAATACCTACCCTTTCTCTCTCTCTATATATATATACATACCCAGCGAGTTTCAGAGGGCGTGGCTCGTTCAGCAACCGTGATACGCACTCCCTCTTCCCCGAAACTCCACCTTTTCCACAACCTGAATCTAGGGAGATTTTGCTTTCATTCCTTATCCGAAAAAGGGGATGCTTACATCCAATGAGCAAGCGCAGCAGAACTCATCTTTCCTAACTTCACCATTTTTAACCTACATTCACCTCTTTTGCATTTCTATATATACTCTGACCACCTAAATAATTCCTTACAGATGTATATACCCTCCTTCATCCAATAAATAATCCCTTACTAAACGAAAATACTGCAATCTGTACTGCCGTACAACATCTGTAGTACTGTCTGTATTACCCTACATCTGTACCCTAAAAAAGCACTAAACATTCTGTTCAACAATTTCAATCATTTGGATCGCAAAATTGAGTTCAAAAATCATAATTGTCAGCCAAAGGTATTAGCAATCAGTAACAATTTACAAAGTCAACTAAAACTTCCTTACAGCCCACAAAAACAATTCATAAAAAGTTGCGTGTATAACAAAATTATGTTCCATAACTTCGCCCCTTTTGCATGATTTAAGGTGATGTATCAAATATCGAACCTTGAACTTTCCAATCAATATCGCGAATTAAGAAAAATAGTTCTATCCCCCCCCCCAAAAAAAACTTGTTTCCCTCCGTTGATTCGTAAAATTCACGACCTGTTTTTGTAGAAAGGGTGTCCGTGTAGATTGTCTTTATATCCGTGTTGGTGCGACATTGGACCTTGTGGGGGCGTGTCGCCTCGATGGCGCCGGCTGCTAATGGCCGCGGGCCGCCAGACTTTAATTTCCTGCTGCTTCCGCGGACCCTTTGCTTTTACCTTTCTGTTCGAAGCCACTTGGCTCTCTCTCTCTCTCTTTTATATCCATTCAAAGCATGCCGTGTCCCCATACCATCATTTGTTTTTTGGTAGCCACGCTGACATTTAGGTTTTCTTGGGAGAGAATTGACGACAATTTGCATGAAACAAAGTTTACTCTAGGTATGACCTCATTATCCTCGGTTTAAACCCTTTTGAAACACGTTGGATGCCGGTTTTCAAGTTTCGATTTGCATGAAAGTGCCCTCGCCGATGGGGTCAGTTGACCTGCCTTTGGGTTCCATTACCTCAAGAAAGCCAATCTCTCCAATCTTTCTCTCTCTCGCTCTTTCTCTCTAGGCTAGGAATGCACCAATTTTGTGTCATTATGCACCCTCGGGGGAGTACTTTTGCTTTTTCGGGACCCTGAGAACAAGGACTTTGCCGCATTCATTTTTTCTTTTTAACGATTTCAACGCAATTACGGACCTACCGATATTAGCGAGATGCTTTCGGTTTATAACCTTAGAGAGAGAGTGGTTCTTGATTATAATTTCGGATTATATAAGTAGGGTGGGATGATAGTTTGGGAACTTTTAATCTTTATCGGAAAAAAAAAAAAAATGATTTTTAGAACCGTAAATATACTAAGTTGCTATTCTTGTTCTTGTTACAGGATCATCCGGGTCTTAGAGGCACACCATTGGCGATGCTGGCGGCGCAATGTAACAAATTGAGCAGCAAGAGTCCCCCGCCGTTGGCGGACGCAGCAGTGGGAAAGGGGTTTCACCCTTGGAAAAAGAGTCCACAGAGCAGCGGGAGTTCACCGCAGCACACGGGCGGAAGTGGCACCGGATGTACGACGACTGGCGTCACGCAGAGACCAACAGCAACCAGCAGCGCTGGTAGTACCGGTGGCTATGCCCGAGCACCGGTCACGTCCTGCGCCTCAACGGCTCCACAATACGGTAGCGATCTCTACTTTCCCGGCACGGCAAGTGCTCAACCTGCCAGCGATCCACATCATCATCAAAGCAGTATCCTCGGCAAGGTCGAAGGTGCAACCTTGGGCTCCGTATACGGACGACATCCCTACGAATCCTGGCCCTTTAATACAATGCCAGGTGCCACGCACGGTGGAATTAAAGCCGGCGATGGCTGGTGGGATGTGCATGGAGCAGCCACAGGCGGTTGGCTCGACGTCAGCGGAACCGTAGGCGTTGGCGTTCATGCCGCTCAAATGGCAAACTATTCAGCCGACTACTCGAGCCTTGCACTTGCTGGCAATCATCTTCTCACTTCGGCAACAACCGCCGGACACAATCTCCTTCAAGACACCTACAAATCAATGCTACCGGGCGGACCCCCTGGATTTGGACTTCATCATCATGCAGCTGCAACTGGAGGCGGTGCCGGCAGTCCCCAAGGTGGCGCAACTGGTGCTGCCAACGTCAGTCAAGCTCCATCGCCCCGCTCCCAGAGGCGATACACAGGACGAGCAACCTGCGACTGCCCCAACTGCCAAGAAGCCGAGCGACTTGGACCAGCTGGCGTTCATCTCCGGAAGAAGAACATCCACAGTTGTCATATACCAGGCTGCGGCAAGGTCTACGGCAAGACATCACATCTAAAGGCCCACTTACGGTGGCACACTGGTGAGCGACCGTTTGTTTGCAACTGGCTTTTCTGTGGCAAGCGGTTCACACGTTCGGATGAGTTGCAGCGACACCTGCGAACCCACACCGGCGAAAAGAGATTCGCCTGTCCGGTCTGCAACAAGCGGTTCATGCGCAGCGATCATCTCGCGAAGCACGTCAAGACGCACAGCAGCAGCAGCAGCAGCGGCGGCAGCAAGGGCAAGGGGGGAGCGGGGAGCTCGTCGGCCGAGTCCTGCTCCGACAGCGAGGACAACGGGAGTCAGCAGAGTCCCAATTCCAGCTCGGTACCACCACCACCACAGCAACCTCCTCAGGGCCTAGTGGTGGTGGCGGGAGCGGTCCAGGACACCAACTCCCAGAACAACACCACCAGTCTCTCCCATCAACCGACAACGCCCATGACCCCAATGCAGATGACCCCACCGCCTCTAACCCCACACCATCCCCACCACCCTCATCTCCCGCCTCTAATGCACCATCCTCATCATCACGCAACATCCGTACATCATCATCCACACGCGGGGATGAGCATGCACTGAGCCCGGTGGGGCCCGGAGCCGGTGGCTGCAATAACGGTTCAACGGCACTGGGCTCCCCCCTATCCTACCCCCTAAATCTCAATTTAATTCATCATCAAAATCAATCCCTCCTTCATAATCAACAATCATCACATCTTCATCATCATCATCATCATCAACATCATTTACATTCCCATCACCAACAGCAATCGCGTCAAAACAATTCCTACACGGTTTCGCAAAATCCCGGCAATCCTGGCACACCAGGGACCGCGCAGACTCCCTCACCATCGTCCCCGCCGCCTGTACATAGTCTCTAGGCCGACACCTCCCCGTGCAACCCCCCACAGCACTTTCATGTACCAATCACCGATCGTTAACGTGTAAATACTTATACATAGTGAGAGTAGCGCGAGAGATAATGATATTATATTGAAGCGATATAATATTGTACAAAAAAAAAAAAATGAAGAAGAAGAAAATGAAAACAGAAAAAGTTATTACCGCATTCTTGTGCGCACTAAGACACTGACTCTTATCTTCAACACCCAAATCTAAAAAGTCTCTCGGCTCTTTACTTCAAATATAAATATTTATAGTTGGTTCTGTTAAAATTCAGTTGTAATTTTTAGAGTTTTATTTTATTGATAAATTTGTATTATCGTGATTTTATTTTATAATTTTATGGTTATACGAAATATTTCCCAATTTTCAATATTTTGGATACACTGTTGCATATAATCCAAAGGGTAAGAATTTGTGTCAATATAATGCTTGAAACTTTTTTTGCTGATCGTGATATAAATTTTTAAATTATTTTCTCGTTGATGAAAAATTTATTAATATTAATTACTATTATTAATATTATTATTAATAATTATTGATACAGTTTCTTGCTTCTTGGTGAGAATTTTCATTTGCATAATTGATGTAGCTTCTTTTCAATCACTGGTTCAAATTTTAAAGCATCAGTAGTATTATAAATAATTGCATTACCAAAATTAGAACCATTGGTTGAAACTTTTGATCATTAGTGCCATTTTTTTTTTATCAAATTTTGAATCATTATTATACCTTTCTAATGATACATTTTTTTGTATCAGTTTCTAGAGCATATCTTTCTAAATAAAAATTTGGGAAATAGTTGGTACCACCATTTCATTTAATATTTGACATGAAAATTACAACTTGGAAAAAAAATTGATTAAGCGGATCCAACTATTTTTGCCATATAAAAGAAATATATAAAAGAAGTTAAAGATCAATTTATTATTTTCGTATAGGAAAAAAAAGTATATATATATATTTATCGAAACGAATTCCTTGAAAGGAAGAAAAAATTATAATAGAAAATCTTACTTTGTAGATTTGGGAATTGGAGATCAGGTTGTACCATACACCGACTACGTTCTCCGGGAAGTCCCCCACGCGAATCACCGGAAATACGATCGTCGGTCAGGTTACAAACGTCGGCGATTCCAATTTCTTCATATTATACATATATGTACACATATATATATATTTATAGTTTTAATAATTTTTTTCCGAATATATGATTCGAAATATTTTTTTTTCTTTATATTAGAAAAAAAAAAAGCTCGACGTTTGCAACTTGGACTCGTACGGACCCATATCACCCTTTCAAGTCTAGTATCTTACTATTAATTAATTATTATTATTATTATTATTATTATTAATTATTATTATTAATTATTATTACTAGAGTATTATTATTATTATTATTATTATTATTATGAAAATTATAAATTCATTTTAAGAAGAGATAAAAGAGGAAAAATAAACGATGCTTTTGTCAGTAAAACCAAATCACGGCACTAGATTTCATTTAATCATATAACCCTTTCCCAAATCGTTAAAATGAAAAATTCAAATAGTAATTGAGAAAAAAAAAAAAGAAGGAAAAATTTAAATAATAATCCGGTCGTCTCGCGTTAATCGCTCGTCGACGGATAACAAATATAAGCACTTGTCAGAGGAAATTATTTTTTTTTTGGGGGCCTCAACGATGTCTCCTCGCTTGACCCTTGCTCTTGTCATACAACTGCTGTTCTCATCGATGATGATGATGCAACAACAACAACGCATCTTTATGGGACTCGCAGCAGCTTACATCGCAGAAAGGAACATCAATCATAAACTATATATGGATGTGGGGGATCACCTTTCACTATTAAAAAACTTTTCCGAGATCCTTTGCCAAAAACGTAAGTCTCCTTAGAACTCCACTTCATGGGATTCAATTTTTTTTTTTTTAAACTATATAATATAAATAATAATTAAAACAGAAAACCCCGTCCCTTATGTGATATGAAAATAAATAAAGAAAAAAAATAATAATTTTCCTCTTTCCTTAATTTCTATATTTAATTAAATTTTATATATTATTTAATTAATAATTTACCTGAAATTTTTTTTTTGGCAACTACATTTTTTGGCACCAAATAAAATGAATAAATTAATTAAGATATTTTATTTTTGGTAAAACGAATGAAAAAATTAGAAACTATTTTTGGTAGCAAATAAAATGGACAAATTAATTAGACATTTTATTTTTGGTAAAACGAACGAAAAAATTAGAAACTACATTTTTTGGCACCAAATAAAATAAACAAATTAATTAAGATATTTTATTTTTGGTAAAACGAATGAAAAAATTAGAAACTATTTTTGGTAGCAAATAAAACGAACGGAAAAATTAGAAACTATTTTTGGTACCAAATAAAAGAAACGAAAAATTAGAATTTTTTTTTCACGAAATAAAATAAACAAACAAATTAATTAGAAATTTTATTTTTTGTACCAAATATAATAGGCGAAAATATTAGAAATTTTATTTTTTGTACCAAATAAAACGAACAAAAAAATTCGAAACTATTTATTTTTGATACCAAATAAAACAAACGAAAAATTAGAAATTTTATTTTTTTTTGGCACCAATTAAAATGGGATGAAAAAATTAAAAACTTTATTTTTGGTAATGAAAGAAACGAGAAAATTAAAAACTTTATTTTTGGTAATGAAAGAAACGAGAAAATTAAAAAATTTATTTTTGGTAATGAAAGAAACGAAAAAATTAAATAGAAATTTTATTTTTGGTACCAATTAGAATAAACGAAAAAAATTAATTATTTTATTTTTGACCGCAAATTATATATATTTTGGAAATTAAAAATCGTTTATCATGATATGAGAAATTAATAAAGAATAAATCAAGATAATTTTTTAATGAAAATTAATTGGCAATAGAACTCAATGAGAAGGTAAATTATTAATTAATTAACATTAAAACATACAATTATTTCCAAAAAAAAAGAAAACTTTTCAAAAATGCGTCCAAATACTAAAAAAAAATTTCATTAACTTTAAGGACAATTTTCAGTTTCTAGAATTTTCAGGTTTGTTCATTGATTGTCCTTAAGGCTAATGAATCACTTTAATTATCAAATTAAATTTTTTTTTCAAAAAATACATTATTATTATTTTTATTATTATTATACTTATTTTTATTACTATTATTATTATTAACATTGCTATTACATTGTTATACTATTTTTATTAATTTAATTTAAAAAAAAAAATAAAAATTATGTAAAAAATATAAATATTAAAATAAACACAAAGGTTATTAAAGATTTAGTTTTTGGACGCACGAAATAAAAACATAAAAAGTGAATCAAAGAAAGAAAAGAGGAAATTTTTAAGATTTATCATTGTCAAGTTTTTGATCTGAAGACTGAAACGATGTACTGAGTGGATTTTGCGAAAAGGAATGAAGACGGATCACACGTTGATGGGCTGTGGCAAAAAAAAAAAAAAAAGAAAAAAAAAATGTAATTCATATAGTTCTTTCACATAGAACGTAAGCGCCTAATGCAACGAATTCGCGAGGTAATAAAAAAAAGAAAAAAAAAAAAATTTAAAAGAAGGGGACGGGGTTTCTGAGTTGGTAATATCGCACGGGCCGTTAGGTCCCGGATCCTTCGAGCCATGAAATATCCCGTCATAACATCAAACCCCCCCCCCCTTCCATTATCCATGGTGCTTCATCTCCCTCTTTGAATTAGGCTCCCTAGCTGCAGCACCACGGATGTCGGATGCACACACACACACAACCCAGTCTCACGCTGAGATGTCATTGAGAAAGGTTTGTATTTCTAAATGACCTGAAACGAATCCTCCAATTTTTAGTCATCTCGAAACACCTCAAAGAAACCTCTTTTTTTCCCTCTTGTTTTTTTTTCTTTTTTTTTTTTCATTTAAAAATAAAATTTCGACCATTTTCAAAAATGGGGGTGGTCTATATTTACGTGGATAAAAATAATCTCACTATTAGAGGATTCCTTTTATTTTTATCTTTTTTGGAAAAATATAATTCTGAAATTGAGAATATAAAAAATTTTTCACTCAGAAAAAAATTCGTTTGAAGCAACCAAATTTTGGTTAAATTAACAAAATAAATGCATTGATATACAGTTAACCAAACATTTGGTTGCATAAACCAAACGTTTATTTAGCTCAATCAAAATTTTTTTTGTTCAAAAAATTTATTAAAATAAACCAAACAGTTATTTAGATCAATTAAATATTTATTTGAATTAAACAAATTTTGTTTGAACTAACCAAAAAATTGGGTAAATATAAAAAAAAATGGTACATTTGGTTCAAACATATCTTTTTTCTGAGTGTTAATGCAATATTTTTTCAGTAGAAGATATAAATATTAAATTTCAATAAATGTTATTCAATTGATAAATAACGAAATATTTTTAATATTTATGAAAATATTTTATATTCAAGAATATATTTAGTACACTGAAAAAAAAATTTATTTGATTCAAATATACTCGATTACTTGAGTATTATTAAATAAATTATTTATTTGAATCAAATAATTTTTATTTGAATTAAATAAATTGTATTTGAACCAATAATTTTTGTATTTGAAACAAATATCATTTAATTGACTCAAATAATAATTATTTGATACAAATAAATATTTATTTGATAATAGTCAAGTAATCGAGTATTTGAACCAAATACATTTTTTTTTTCAGTGTAGTATTACTAAATTTAAAAACAGATTGCATGCGGAAATAATCTAAGATAAAGGATTTTATCTCAATTTTAGAATATATATTTGGCGACACATTATACACGGAAAAAATGTTTTACCTGGAACAGCGACAAGTTTCACTGGAACAGCGATATGTTTCACTAAAACAACGAAAGTTATCGCTATTCTAGAGAAACATATCACTGTTCCAGATAAAGATTTTTTCCGTCTATTATACATGTATCATCAATCTCTCAAATTATGATTTTCTAATAACAAATTTCAAAAAAAAAAAAAAAAAAAAAAATTCTACACCTACACCCAGAGAAATGATTTATTTGAAGCAAATAAAATATATTTGAGTTAAATAAACGTATATTTGTCTCAGAGCCTACTAACTTATTTATTTGGCGTAAATAAAAGTTTTATTTGTCAGAAATAAATTTTTCTTTGCCTCAAATAAATTTTTTATCTCAATGAAATAAAATATATTTGCAACAAATAAATGAGTTAGTAGGCTCGGAGACAAATATATACCATTTCTCTGAGTGTAGAGAAAAGATATATTTGTTTAAGTGCCTAATAACTTTTCATTTGTTTTAAATTAAAAATTTTATTTGGCACAAATAAATTTTGTTTACCTAAATAAAATTTTTATTTGAACCAAATAAAATTTATTTAAACCAAACAAAATTGTTTTAAACCAAACAAAATTTGGCACAAATACATTGAGCTGAAATAAAATTTTTCTCTTTAAACCAAATAAAATTTTTTTGAACTAAATAAATATTTATTTGACTATCTTTCCTCTAGGTGTAAGTTTCAAATTAATAAATTTTTTAATAGGTAACAATTATTCTAATTCTTAAAAAAAATTTAATAATTAGTTATCTTTCATAGATTATTAAATCAAATAAGATTAACTAATTATTATATTCATAATTAATGAATAATGTAAATAATTTACACATAAAATGAATATCAACAATTAAAAAAAAAAATTAATTAAAAAATTAACTTGTATAACAGTATATTATAAATTTTTTTTTTTTTAATCATTTTTTGATAGTTTGATGAACGATTGTATAATGGTGCGTGGATTCAAAATAGAAGCCGCAAAAGGTTTTTCTTTATATATATACATGCGGGTTCGGTGGATCGCAAGATAATCAAGCTTTTAGAATTATTAGCGAGCATGACTTGACTTATTTTCTATATATTACAATAAAAGAGTTGCCCGTTTTGTCTCCAAAGTAATTAGGATCTCGATTCAATTAACGTCATTAAGACATCATCATGATCGTTAGTCTATCATTACTAATGACATTTGCCCTTGAAATTTTTATATATAAATTATATCTTTCACATATACGACATATATATTATATATACGACACAATTTCTCAAGCCATATTCATCTAAATACTTTTTTAATTCTCTGCAGAAAATAATAAAAAAAAAATTCTTTTGTTTTATCATTTTTTTCCCTTATTTAATGTATATAATTAGATAATATAGATTAATATTTAATTAATAATTTTTAATAATTTAAAATAACTCTCGATTAAATGTAAAAAGAAAAAATTAATTTTTTTTAAATAATATCAATTTTCGATTAAAAAAAAAGTGGTAAAAATTTAATTGGATCAAAAAAAAAAAAAGGAGAAAAAAAACTAAAGAGGGAGAGTAAATAATGGAAAATGAGGTGGTCGTTACGGGCGCGCAATAAACAATTTTCAACCCCACATAGTAGCGTAAAACGGATCAATATGGAAGAGATTACGAAATAAGATCGTTATGCAAAGCAGTCGACGGGTTTTGGACTAACAGGGGGTGGGGGGGGGGGGGGGGGGTGGCATTCGTAGCAATTCGCGGGAGGTGCGGTTAATGTCAAACTGCTCATAAGGCAGGGTTGAATTTTTCGGTGATTTAGTCAAGAAGGGTGAACGTTTGTTATTCAATATACAACCCCTTCGAATCACTATACCAAAGTTATATTGAAAATAAATTTCCTTTTTTTTATTGCTCCCATTTTTTTTTTTTTATAGAAAAACCAAAAAAATTATTAGTACAATTTTAACAGAATTTTAAGTAGTAAAAGTCAATTTAAGACATTAAATATTTTCTATTTTTTATTGTATTTTTTATAATGATTTTAATATGTAATTATATATTATTTATAATTATACATTATATACATATATAATTATAGATATTATAATATAATTGTGTAATTTAAAATTTTCATTTTTATTTATTAAAATTATCGCAAGTAGAAAAAAAAAATTTTTTTTCAACATCAGACAATGCAATCTTATAACGTTGCATGTAATTAAATTTACTTTTGATTAATGGGAGAAATATTTAAATTTTATTTTTATTTTAAAGTATATAGAAAATACCGTTCACGATTAGACAAGTTGAAGAGATGACATAATTTTAATATTCAAAAATATAAAAATTCTTTATTTAAAATATGAAATTTTTTTTTATCACTAATAATTTTTTATTTTAATTTTTTTTTTAATACAAAATTAAATGATAATTCAGTTTATTAAGTAACCAAGAAGTATAGAATATTTTTTATTATTTTAGTGAAACTTAAATTTCAGTAGTTTTAGTCAATTTATAGTCAGACAGGCGAAAAGTTCTGATGAAGATAAATGTTTTGTCAATTTATAAAAAATATTATTTAAAATATTATAAATAAATTAAATTTATTAAAGTATTAATAAATTTTTGTATTAAAATAAGAAAAAAAAGAAACAGGAGCAATAAAATCGAGAATGTAAATTTCTATGATCCCCTAAATATAAATCATTGACAGAGATCAGTATGTCATTTGTCGCCACCCCGCATTACAGGCAGATGATCATTAAATTTTTTTTTTTAAACTTCTGTCACTGACACAATAAAATAATTAATTATATATATATATATATACTAATGTTTATTATCAAGATTATAGTCCAAAAAATTAAAATAAAAAAATAAATTATAAATTATAATTTTTTTTAATTTTTAAATAATTAATCAAATTTGTCATTGACAAATAAAATTTTCAAATGTAGTTAATCAATATTTTTTACAGGTTTTTATTATTCCTAATACTAAAAAAAAAATATTGCTTTTATTTTGGAAACTAGACTTAAAAAAAAAGTGTCAAAAATTAAGATGAATAATTTCCAGAAAAAAGGATCTTATATGACCTTTAAAAAATGTATACTATTTAATTTCTTTAAATAACGATCAATGAAACGATTTCTCGCTTTTTGTTGAAGGCTAAAAAAATTTTACTAAATTTAAATTTAGTGAGTAACAATAATTTTTATTTAAATTTAAAAAGTACAAAATATTAAAAATTAATTAAAACTTTTGAAAATTGTTTATTTCATTGTTTGGTTTTTATTTTTGAGAAAAAAACAAATTATTTATATAAATAATTTACGTAATTTTTACTTAAAAAAAAAAAAAAATTAAAAATTACTTTATTAATGAAAAAAAGTAAATTAAAAATTTTCGTATTTTTTTTTCTTGAATTGAACGTGAATTAATTCCCTTATGAAAATTCCTTTGTAAGAAAATAATGTTAAAGCTGAAATGTTTTCAGTATAATGTTTTTTGTATAATATTTTTGCGATTATAGGTAATTTATTATAAGAAATTGATTATAAAATATTTTTTTCTCAAATAATTATAAATATATAATTATTAGAGATTGTGTAAAGAAATCATTACAATTTTATAATTATATGAAAATGTAATTATAGAAAATAAAATTTTTAACGTGCAAAAATTAAAATATTATAAAATTAAAATTATAGAAATTTAATTACAGAAATTAATTAATTTTGTATTTTACTGATAACTATATATAGTTTTGTAATTTTGTATTTTACTGATAACTATATATATAGTTATCAGTAAAATACTAAAATTAATTAATTTCTGTAATTAAATTTTTATAATTTTAATTTTATAATATTTTAATTTTTGCATTTAAAAAATTTTTTTTTCTATAATTACATTTTCATAATTATAAAAATATTATAAAAATAAAATTATAAAAATTTAATTACAGAAATTAATTAATTTTGTATTTTACTGATAACTATATATATAGTTATCAGTAAAATACAAAATTACAAAACTATATATAGTTATCAGTAAAATACAAAATTACAAAACTATATATAGTTATCAGTAAAATACAAAATTAATTAATTTCTGTAATTAAATTTTTATAATTTTAATTTTATAATATTTTTATAATTATGAAAATGTAATTATAGAAAAAAAAATTTTTACGTGCAAAAATTAAAATATTATAAAATTAAAATTATAAAAATTTAATTACATAAATTAATTAATTTTTTATTTTACTGATAACTATATATATAGTTATCAGTAAAATACAAAATTACAAAACTATATATAGTTAGTAAAATACAAAATTAATTAATTTCTGTAATTAAATTTTTATAATTTTAATTTTATAATATTTTTATAATTATGAAAATGTAATTATAGAAAAAAAAATTTTTACGTGCAAAAATTAAAATATTATAAAATTAAAATTATAAAAATTTAATTACAGAAATTAATTAATTTTGTATTTTACTGATAACTATATATATAGTTATCAGTAAAATACAAAATTACAAAACTATATATAGTTAGTAAAATACAAAATTAATTAATTTTTGTAATTAAATTTTTATAATTTTAATTTTATAATATTTTAATTTTTGCACGTGAAAAATTTTATTTTCTCTAATTACATTTTCATAATTATAAAATTGTAATGATTTAATTAATTTAATAAATTTAATTAATTTTCATTAATAATCTTATAATAAATTACCTATAATAGCGAAAACATTATACTGAAAACATTTCAGCTTTAAAATTATTTTCATATAAGGAATTTTCATAAGGGATTTTGTGATCGTTATTTGAAGAATTGCTTCGTTGATTCAAAGAAATTCGTTTCTGGATGCAGGTTTAGATACACAGTCACTTCTCACTCACATACACACATGTAGAGTGCGAGCTCTCGAAGGAGATCAAATGGGAGTCGAGTGAACGTGGGTGGCATATTCAGAGAGTACATCATCAAACGAAGGCCAAAGAGGAAAAAGGACCTGACGAGCGAAACATGCGTCGACACTTTGGGACTGGTTATATAGCAAAAGCCCTTGAGGACACACATTAACAAGGGGGTGTCAGATTTACCAAAGCCGTATATACCGCTTTTGAAGGAAAAATAAAAAATCTACTTAGAAACATGCATAGATTTGCCTTTTGTAAAACTAAGGCTGTGCGATATTTCTATATAAATATTTTCAATTCCATTTTATATTTTTAATTACTTTACTACCAAAAAAAAAAACAGCAAAAAAAAAAAAAAAAAAAAATGAAAAGAAATAAAACATTATTCAATTATTAGCCAAGTATTATTAAATATAACAAGACTCATATCCATAAAAAAAAAATATGGATATTAAAAATAAAGCAAAAAAAAATATATATAAAAAAATGTGAATAGTATTGATAATAGTTGCTAAGAAACAAAAAAATAAAAATGTTACTGTTTGATATATATTTCCTTAAGGTTTCAGAGAGCAATTATCATTCTTGTAAAGAATTCCCTGCTCTTCTCTGGGTTGTTACTATATGTAAAAATAAAAAAAAAAAAAAAAAAAAAATCGCAGGAGATTTTATTTTTCGTGAAACGAATTTTTTTCTTTCCTGTTTGAATTTTATATGCAACGAATTTTTTGTGTTATTGTCTTGTTCTGTTTTTTTTCTTCTTTTTGACAAAAAAAAAAAAAAAAATTTTGCATTGTTGTAAATAAGGCACACGAAATATTTATAATACATTTTAAATTTTACGATTGCGTTTGCCAAAAATAAAAAACAAATTCGATTTTTGTCACGTATATGAAAGAATTTTGTCGTTGTCAAATTTAACACTCATATATTTATTGTGTATGTCATTTCTATTGTGAAAAAAAAGCCTTCCGACACTGTAAGTCATGGTTTAATAAAACAAGATTCAACATAAACCCCTTTTTTTCTATTTAGAATAATAATAATATAAATTAAGAATTTATCAATTTTTTATTTATTTTTAATTAGATTATTATTGTAATTATTGATTTTTTTTTATTTTTCAGTTTCAAATTGAAATTAATTGATTAAAAGTAAATAATCGAAGCTAATAATTGAATATACACCCAGAGAAATGATTTATTTGAACCAAATAAAATATATTTGAGTTAAATAAACGTATATTTGTCTCAGAGCCTACTAACTTATTTATTTGACGTAAATAAAAATTTTATTTGTCAGAAATAAATTTTTCTTTGGCTCAAATAAATTTTTTATTTCAATGAAATAAAATATATTTGCAACAAATAAATGAGTTAGTAGGCTCGGAGACAAATATACCATTTCTCTGAGTGTATATAATGTTTATTAAACGGAAAAATTCCCTCTCTTTTTTGTCTTATTCAGTCAGGTTTGACTGTATACTTAAAAAATTGTTTACAAAAAAAAATATATATATATATTCTCCCAAATTGAATATTATACACCCAGAGAAATGATTTATTTGAAGCAAATAAAATATATTTGAGTTAAATAAACGTATATTTGTCTCAGAGCAAATTTTATTTTATTTTAATTATTATTAAATTATTATTATTAAATTATTATTATTAAATTATTATTAATTATAAATTTTATTTGTCAGAAATAAATTTTTCTTTGGCTCAAATAAATTTTTTATTTCAATGAAATGAAATATATTTGCAACAAATAAATGAGTTAGTAGGCTCGGAGACAAATATATACCATTATTTCTCTGAGTGTATATTCTATTTAAAATTAAAATATTTCAATAAAAGATTAAATAAATTTTTTTCAAATAAATAAAATAGAAGATTAATTAAAGATTTCTCTGGGTTATATAGTAAAAATAAAAAAAATATATATTTTTTATAATTTATATAGAGATTAATATAATGAGAAATGTAAAAAAAAAGAGAGAGAAATATTAGTTAAGTGGTCCATCAACAGCATCTTCAAGGATAACTTGGCGTAACAAAAGATCCTAACAAGGTGGAGGGCATGTGGTCAGCAGCTCTCTCGCACACCCACAAGATTAGCATAAAGTGAATATATTTGTATAGGTATAATATGCTCTTAGAAAATCATGTGTATGTGAACTGCAAAAGAGAGTGGCACGCGCGTCCCGTTACTATAAAGCAACCGCCCTCTTCAGTGAGAGAAAGAAGCCATGGACCAAAAAGGCGGCTTCGTTAAAAGCCATAAGGATGTACGGCAATTTGATAAATTAGAATTCTCTTTCACGCTCGACTGCTCTTTTGATTTGTTTTCCTTTTTTTTCTTTTTTTTTGACAATTTCTCTTTTTTAAATTTCGAAATATTATCAATTTTTATTATTTCAAATCGTTACCAAATCTCACACAAATCAAAAATTAACTTTCGTAAACCGGCTTTTTATATTAAAAATTCCAGTATTTTTTCTATTTTCTTTTTTCCATTTTCAAAAATCGGAAATTTTTCCCAAAGGTTTTAATTTGAGAATAATTTTTTTTGCAATGAGGGGTTTTTTTTTTTTTTTTTTTTTTTTTTTTTTTTTTTTTTTTTTAATTCTGTGTGTATATAAGGATTCATCAAATCTAATGGTCAAACAACACCCGATCGTATTATATTTATTTGCCTGACCGAAATGAATCTCTTGTGAATTCACAGTCAGGCGGTAATACTGAAACGCAAAACCCACATTATTACGAATTACGACCGATACAAGCTAATTGGTCATCGTTAAAGGTCATTAAAGTATCTGGTTGATTCACGTGACACCAAAGGGAGTAGACTTTCCCTATATACAAACTTTCACAATAACATCAATATTAGAGAAAATCTCACCCCTTACCTCCCCAAAGGATATTATTTTAATTCACCTTCAAATATCAAATAAATAATTTCTTTCTATAATATTATTATTATTATTAATTATTTCCAAGATGAATTTATTAATTAATTCAAGAATAATTATTAATTCAAAACTAATTATTAACTAATTGAAAATTAATTATTAATTCAAAATTAATTATTAATTAATTCAAAACTAATTACCATCGAATAAGGAATTAAACTAAATTATTTAGAAAAAAATATTAATAAAGGTTAATAATTTTTTTTTTTTGTTAATACAAATTGAAACAAAATTTTTTGGTACTTTTCTTTGTACGAAAGAAAATTTTTAATAATTAAAATATTTCATTATTACAGTAGAAAATTTTTAAAAATTAAAATTTTTCATTGTCAAAATTAAAATTGTCAAATTAAAAAAATAGTTTTAAAAGAAATTATTGAGAAATAAAATTTTGTTGGGTATACAAAAAAAAGGTTATTTTTTTGTCTTAAAAAACATTTGTTACAATTCTGATGTAAAAAGAAAATTATTTGAGATTAAAAAAAAAAAATTCTTCGCACTTGCCATGAATCTTATTTTAGACATGCGAATTTGATGCGGAGGCGTCTCGCGGTTTTATGACGTGTTAAAGTCGCTACATCATATTTCTATAACTGTATGGCTGTTGCTTTAGCGACATCGATTTATCGTCGCCCGTCAACCGCCACCAAAAGTAATAACTTCAAACGTCGCGTGCGTGTAACTGTTTTTTTTTTTTTTTTTTTTTTTTTCGTTTTGTTTGTTTCTTTATCGCAAAATTCAAACAAATTCTAACCTGTTAACATTTTTCATATTTTCTCATTTCCTTCATGTGTAATAAAAAAAAGGAAATTCATAGAAAAAAAGAAAAATATTTCCAACCGATTTTTTTATATTAAAAATTTTAGTTATTTTAATTTTAGTAGTAGATAAATAATGGTAATAATAATAATTAATAATAATAAATAATAATAATAATAATTAATTAATAATAATAATAATAATAATAGTTAATTAATAATAAATAAATAAAAAAAATTGACTCACCAATCGCGGATCATCGCCATGCTTTTTCTACATCTTTCCTTCTGTCGATTAAAAAAAAACACACGCGATTTAAAAAATTTCGAAAACACACCTAATGATAAAAAAAATTACATTAAAAAAAAAAAAAAATTATTTATATCGAACGAACGCGGTTTTAGAAAAATTCGAGCATTCCCGAGACCGCGTGGAAAAATATTGAGAAAGAATAAAATATTGATCCAAAAATAAATTGTTTAAATAAATAAATAAAATAAATAAATTAAATATAAATAAATAAATAAATAATAAAATAATAAATAATAAATTGTTTATTAAAATATTGATATTGAAAAATGTTGATCGCAATTTTAAATTAAAAAAAAATTTAAATAAAATAAATTCAAACACTCCAGCAATTAAAAAAAAACACACTCCAAAATCGTTACCAATTTAAAAAAAAATTCGCGAACCCGTTAATCTATAAGCACCTTCACAATTTGAATTTATATTCTCGACGTAAATAATTAATAATAGTTGTAAGGACGATTTCCAAATTGAAACTGAATTTAAATATTTCTTCATTTATTATATGTTTGTGAATTTTAATTCTCACCGTTTTGATATTATTATGACCTCTGTTTACTCGAATCCAATATAGTCTATTGTTCTCCAATCGAACGTCAACAACATAATTCCTCGTGATGAAAACAGATCGAAAGGTCTATTGTCTTGACTACCTGGAAAAATCAAAAGATACAATTTTATTAACAAATTTTTACTTTATATAATTTATTAAATAAAATTGTCTCAATTAAAATATTAATAATTTCCAGAATGACTAAAAAAAAGAGAACAAAATTATTGATATATTTTTAAAATAAAAACTGAAAATATTTTTTTAATTTAACAATTAATTTAAATTTTAAAAAAAGATAATTTAATTGGTAAAAAATTAATTTAATTAATTAACAGTTAATTAATTTATCAATTTAGTTAATCACTTGAAATTAGTTAATTAAAAAATTAATTAAAAACTATTATGATAGAATCTACCAAGGATTAAATAAAGATAAAAATATTAGTGATTTTATAAGGGTTAAAATTATCAATACATTGGTTGGTTAAAACATTGAATTCGGTTAACTTTAATAATTTACGTCAATTAATTATATGAATATGCTACCAAGGATTACAGCCACCAAAAAATTATCCTTGAGGATAAAACTATACCAATATATTAGTAGTTTAAGGTGTTAAAACTATCAATAAATTAGTAATAGTTCAACAAATTAAGTTCAAAATTATAATTTTAATTATTCTCCCTAATATATTTTTACAGTTGCCAAGGGTTAAACCTTAAGGTAAAGCTACCAATATATATTGGTAGTTTTAAGGTTTAAACCTACCAAAATATTAGTAGTTTAAAGGGTTAAAATTATCAATAAATTATTAAAAGTTCAACAATTAATTTCTATATTAATTTTAATTATTCTCTGTAATTAATTGTCGAAGTTCCCAAGGGTTAACCCTACCAATATATTAATAGTTTTAAGGGTTAAACTATCAATACATTAGTAATAATCCAACAATTTAGTTTGATAATTAATTTCAAGTATTTTCATTAATTAATTATCAAAGTTGCCAAGGGTTAAAGCTACCAATATATTGCACTGGTAGTTTTAAGGGTTAAACCTACCAATATATTAGTAATTTTAAGGGTTAAAATTATTAATCAATAATTAAAAGATCAACAATTAATTTCTATATTAATTTTATTTATTCTCAGTAATTAATTGTTGAAGTTCCCAAGGGTTAACCCTACCAATATATTGCACTGGTAGTTTTAAGGGTTAAACTTACCAATATATTAGTAGTTTAAAGGGTTAAAATTATCAATAAATTATTAAAAGTTCAACAAGTAATTTCTATATTAATTTTAATTATTCTCAGTAATTAATTGTCGAAGTTCCCAAGGGTTAACCCTACCAATATATTAATAGTGTTAAGGGTTAAACTATCAATACATTAGTAATAATCCAACAATTTAGTTTGATAATTAATTCCAATTATTTTTATTAATTAATTGTCAAAGTTGCCAAGGGTTAAAGCTACCAATATATTGCACTGGTAGTTTTAAGGGTTAAACCTACCAATATATTAGTAGTTTAAAGGGTTAAAATTATCAATAAATTATTAAAAGTTCAACAAGTAATTTCTATATTAATTTTAATTATTCTCAGTAATTAATTGTCGAAGTTCCCAAGGGTTAACCCTACCAATATATTAATAGTGTTAAGGGTTAAACTATCAATACATTAGTAATAATCCAACAATTTAGTTTGATAATTAATTTCAAGTATTTTCATTAACTAATTATCAAAATTTGCCAAGGGTTAAAGCTACCAATATATTGCACTGGTAGTTTTAAGTGTTAAACCTACTAATATATTAGTTGTTTTAAGGGTTAAATCTGCAAATATATTAGTAGTTTTAAGGGCTATAGTACAAATTAGTAATAGTTCAATATTAATTAAAATTATTTTCAATTATTAATTAATGAAATTCCCAAGGGTTAAAGCTACCAATATATTGGTAGTTTTAAGGGTTAAACCTACCAATATATAAGTAGTTTAAAGGGTTAAAGTTATCAATAAATTATTACAAATTACCAATAATTATTATTATTACCAATGTATTACCAATTTTATTAAGGGGGTTACACTCGGGGTTAAAATTATTTATTAGTTTCAAATTATATACTAAGTTCGGTTGATTTCAATTATTTTTCATATTTTCAAAAACTACCAATATAGTTTTTTAGTTTATTTTTATTCATACATAAATAAATTGGTACTTTTTAACCCTTAATAACCTTATATTCTATCTTTTTCCACTTAAATCTATACTGAAATTTTTTTTTCGTAAAAGTCATCGCGTATACGATATACGCGCCTCGAATTGAGTGGAATGACGTAGTGATTTTCAAGACAAGATGTGTTAAGAAAAAAAATAAAATTCAATGAGAATATTGGTGAGACCCTAGCATATATATATATATATATATATATTAAAGTGCTATAGACGGTTTTCGCCATCTTATAAATACTCTCATATGGCTGCGGTATATTATCGTCGAGTAGAGTGACTGGACAAGAATCAATTCAATTGCTTGTATATCTAATTCAATAATCTGGTCTGACGAGTGGTTGAATATGGCACGAGAATATATGGATATGATAAATGAGCCGGTTGCGGCGGTGGAAGAAGAAGAAGAAAAAGAGCGAGAGAGTAAATAAAAAGAAAAAAAAAAGACAAGGAGAAAGATAGAACCCATGACTTCCGGTTTGTATGGCAAAAAGACGTTCTCGTCGACAGGCACTTCGCTAGTTATAAATCGTTTCGTAAACCGAAGACACGTGACTAGCGTCGTCGTCGTCGTCGTTGTCGTTTATGCTTGAGATGCTCGGTAAATGGTCGGTTCGACGGTCCATAATAATAATTATCACTTTATTCCTCATCCTCGTATTTATTTTTAACATTTTCCGAAAAAAAAAAATAATTTTTTTTTCATCCGCGCACATGTATCGTTCAAAGGGATTTTATTTTTACTATATAAAAAAAATGGGGGGGGAAAAATTCATTTATCGTCGTAGAATTTTTTTTTTCGTTATCTGATATGAATATACAAAAGGGAGGGAGGATGTGTCATTTAAATATTTTTCTAATTAAAACATTAGAGAGTCTCGTTATATTTAAATAAAAATACCATTTTCACGGTATATGCTATTATATATTGTTTGAATAAGTAAATTGACTCGTTTGAATGACAAATGAGAAAATTTCATTATTCCAATCTTGATGAGTTTAATAATAGCCATGCTAATATTAATTAATACTTTTATTAAAAATTACATTCGAACAAATGAATTTTTAATAATAATAAAAAATAAAATCAAAAATTTTTTTTTGAGAAGTTTTTAAAAAATAATTTGAAAAAAATAAATCATTTTTTTTTTAAATCGCATTTATTATTTAGGCAAAGAAACTGCTAAGAAGTCAGATTCAGTAATTGTTTTTAATGACTCAAATTTTTATGTTCAGACTCGTAAAACTGTTTTGTATTTTTTTTTTTTGTGCCTTTTTTGGAAAGTATTATTTAATTCGAAGAATTTGTATAGAAAAGATATGAAATTGAATTTCGGATCTTTTAATGTCATTTTAACGTCACGTTTACCCTCATTTTTATACGACCCTCGAAACAAGTTGAGTTATGACACTACAGTTCTAGAGAAGTTTAGACGGATGTTCAAAAAATTCAAGGGGGCGACGTTGCGTTATGTCTCGTTATGCAATTAAACGGTTTCATTTTTTTCTACTTTTTTTTAAAAAAATAAATACGTCTAAATTCTTGTCATCAAATAACAACTAATTATAATTTGTTCTTTTCAATTTGTATTATTTTGACAAATTTACTTGAAATCAGAGAAAACTGTTTCAAAGAAAAAAAAATTTGTTTGGGGGGTATTTTTAATTAATTCAACAAGTGATATTTTTAACCAATGATATATCAGTTAATTTTTAAAAATGTAAAAAATAAAAATAAAAACATTTTATTAATGCGAAGAAGAAAATTTGAGATTTATTACTGAGATTGAAAAATTGTAATATAAATAAATTCTCCAAGGTGTTCTTCTTCTATCGCAATAAAAGTGAAGAAGACACTTGTTTATAAGATTGACTATGAATGGGCGGTTAATTCGTAGGCGCCAAAGAAGGAGTAAAATTGAATAAAGTAACGAGGCAGAGAAGTGTATAGGGCTTCTCCTGCGGATAGAGACGTCAGCAGTGAATCATACTAATTGCCATAGTGATTAAATGTTTCGTTCTTAGAACTTTAACCCTCGCGCTCCCTTTTTCTTTCACCACCCTAGTTAAAGAAACATTTCACACACAAGGGCAAAAGACGCATGCAAAAATCCATTGCGGAAATAGGAAATCAACACGTGTGTGTGTATTGCGGTTTCTAATATCCCTATATACATAATTTTTGTATATACTAAAAAATTTCAAAAATTTCCCTTTCTTTTCACACTCCTTTAAATAATAAATTAAATTTTTAAATTCCAAAAAAAAAATTTATGAAAATTAAAAATTACATTTTCTTAAAAAAAAAAAAAACAAAGGAAAATAAAAATAAT